ATGAAGATATCATAAAAAATAAAAAAATATTGATTTTAGTACCGAACTAACTATTTAAAATTTCTCATTTTTTGTGTATWTCATTAATTAATTTTTTTTAAATGCGTATTTGTTTGTATAAAGCCACATTTTATGATTAATAATTAAATTGAAATTCTATAGTTAACATATTATATAATCTTTTTACTACCTGTTTTATATTTAATTAACATATTTTTAACTACCTATGAGCTAGGTTTTGCCAAACGTGATTAGTTGATCGGCTACCTTGTTAATTATATTATATAATGTTATAATTGACTAATTTTTTAACATGTCCTTTTTGGTCATTTTATATTTTTCAGCTAGCTTATTAGCTAGGTTTTACAAACGTGATTAATTGATCAACTATCAGTTAACTTATCAGTCATTAACTAGCTTATCAATTAGTTTGTCAAATATTATATGAATGTCTTAATAAACTATTTTGTTAGATTTTAGTTATCGTTCATATCTAAAAGCTATGCACTAAGAATACAGAATATTAAAGTGTCATATAAAATAGCTAATAGACTGTTTTCAAAAAAACCTCCGACTTATCAAAAATCTTGCAGAAAACAGGTGATTTCTTCTACTTAATTAAAAAAGTAAACATATTTACAAAAATCAAACTGAAAAAATGTTAAACGAAGAAAAGGTCTACTAGTGACATAGTCGAGGCAAGGATTTAACATTGAATGGATCGAAGGTTCTTGGTTTCCCTGGCATAAACTTCGGTGTATTTTGTGCGACTTTGGCACCTCGCTTTTCATTTTCTGTTCTCCTTTTCACGTGACGAGAAAACTTCTGAACCACGAATTCGTCGTTAAGAAAGATCTTGAATCGAGTTTGCTTGGAAAAGGGTAAGTTCTTCTTTAGTTTTGTTCTGACAACGGAAAGCTTGTTGACGTCAAGAACGCTCCATATCTTCTTGTTTTGTACTTCGCTTAAACCGTGATGCATCTATTAGAAACAAACTAGAAGGTCAGAGAAAGCATAGGATATTGATTATTTACGTTTCTAGCTTTTTTGATTTTTAGTAGAAAGTAAGCGGATCATGTAGACCTTTTTACACTAGAAAAGTCTCAATTAACCATTCACTTTGTAGAACAAGTCAACCCTGAACAATCATTTTTTCTTGATTTTATGAAAAAGGGTAAATTAGAGGCTAGAATTGGAAGAAACTACTAGTATTGCATGGAAGTGTTGTACCTCAAGGTACAAGTTGATTGCTTGGTAGATTCTGTCATGGGATTCTCTAGAAATATCTGGCAAAGCCATGGCTAATGCCAGAAACTTGGAAGGTTTAAGGAAAGGATCGGGAGCCACTTCTAACATGAACAAATCCATCAAGAACCCTACTTTTTTGGCTCGATGCACGAAGAACCCGTTGATCCTTCTTTCGTGTAGAAAAACTTTGATTAACCTCAGAATCAAGTCCACATCAAATGCCATTTTTTTCTGGCCAGGGATTAGTAAATCATTGATCCTAAACTCATCTAGTCGCGATCCAAGCAAATTCTCTAACTTTGACCTTTCAACCGTTCTAAGATTCAAACTCAAGCTCATTCCGAAGGCATCAAGTAATGCTCTACACGAATACGCACTCCCACTGATCAAACTCAATAGATTCATATTAGTTTCCGAGAGTTTGCGCTTCTGATCTCGAGAAGAACACAAGAAAAACTTCGATCTTTGGTAATGGAAGATGAACGAACATATTCTCGGGTGGTCAAAATGTAGGAAAATCATTGACTTTATTAGTTTTTCGAATAAATCGATGTTTAAAAAAGAAAGATCATCAAACTGCCAAGAATCTTGATGGGTATTGCATCTTGAACTTCTAGGACTTATATCGCTTGAAGAAAACCGAAAACTAGAGCTGTTTGATGATGAAGGACAGGAACCAGTGAGATAGCTAGGAAGGTTTAGATTTCCTAAAAGGGTATTCAAGAGATCTTGAAAACTTGAAGTGTTTACGGAAGGGAATAAAATCTGGAATTGTTTTAAACCATTGATGAATTCAGACCAGTTCCAGAAATGGTTGCCTTCAAGGTACAACTTGGTTTGCATGATCAAGCTAGGGATTTCCATGAAAGTACTACCACAATGCAGCAAAAATATGTTGGATGGAGTTATGTCAATGGTGCCATTGTTATGGCAAAAGCTTGTAATGAGCTCGAAACTCTCTGCACCACCTGGGAAATCGTTGAATATGAGTTTCAGGTTCCGGGTTTTCCCAGTGAAATTTGCGAGTAAATTGCTTACTCGATTCGAATAAGATGCAAGAATTTCCTGCAAAAAAGGGAGTCTTTTCAGTATCTTCACAGTTCAGAATTCAATAATTAGTGTCTAGAAAGACAGCATGTGAAGTTGAAACAGATTTATAATAAGAACAGAGAAAGATTCTTGAAAATGATATCATTTTCAACTGAATTTGAGTGGATTCAAGACAAAATAAACACAAAAAGCATAAAGATTCTTGATAGAACTGCATTTTTCATCTGGGAAAAAAGAAACTATAGTGAATTCAACACAATGGAAGTCTGAAAGTTTGTCAGACAAAAAAAATCAAAATAAGAGCAGATTGAGTCTGTTCATAGCAATAAAACACACACACACACAGAGATAGAAATATACAGCTTTTTAGAAAAGAAAGGTTCCATTTTCAACTAAGAACAACAAAACTTAGTGAATTTGAATCAAGAAAAGCACAAACTTTTCCTCCTTTTTTGAAATGGGTCAATACAGAAAGTAAAAGTGTAAGCCAGAAAACCTCCATTCGTATGAAATCGCATAGACACAGAGGAAAGATTTACCTTATCAAGAAAGAAAATGTGTTCACCATTGACATCTATTTCAAGATCACAACACATATCTAAAGAATGAGCTCTAAAAAGAGAGAAAGTATCCTAACGTCTGTGAATTCTGATGGATTTTCAAGATTCAAAATCGGTTTGAATCATTAAGTTTGAAGGAAGGATGGAAACTGAAAGAGATGGGGATTTTGGGTGTTTTTTTATGAAGGAGTAGGAGTGAATGAGAGCACAGGGGATGAATGAATGACAAAGCAGGGGACGATTGCAGACAATGAGAAGCATCCAGCTTCATTTATTAGGGCTCTTTTTGAACCCTCTTTGGATGTTTTATTCATTAAAAAATATTAATTTTGTCTCATTTATTTGAAAAATAAGCTAATATTATATTTCAGGGTAAATAATGATTTTAATTATAACATTCATTTATGTTAACTAGAAGAGAATCCGTGTAATGCAGCGAGATACATCTTAATTTTAATATTTCATTTTATTGTTTATCTCAATCGATGTTATAATATGGTCTTATGTGATTTT